GGACGGACATTCGAACAAGGATTAGCCGGGTAAATTAAAAAAGTGACGAATTCTGGGCTTACACTTATTATGCGAGAGCACCTACATAAGCGGATTTTCTTCTTGCTCATTTTCATTTTTTTGGATAAAATATGACAAAAATTATTTCAATTTGATGAATGGATGAAACAACCCCCCCCCCAAAAAAAAGAATCAACGCCTGCGGCTCAGGGCATGTATTTTGCAAGCGCGATGGACGGAAATGAGAGAAAACAAAAGAAATCATTGGCTGGGAAATTAAGGAGTGACGAATTCTGAGCTTGCGGTTTCCACTTATTTTGAGAGAGCAGTTCCTACATATTCGGATTTATTTTCTTTTGCTCTTTTATCATTTTTTCAATAAAATATAGACAGAAATTAATCCCAATTAATGAATCGATGAGATAAAAACAATGAAAGATCAACACCAAAGAGCGAATAGCATGCACTTCGCAAGACAGGTGAAAGAAAACAGTAAAAGCGCCCTCTATAAACACCATGAAGCAAAGGGCGACAGCACACGACGCGTCGCGTCGTGTCGTGCGTCGCGTCGTGCTTCAGGCGACGTTATAGGCGACATATAGGCGACACGATGCACGACACGACGTACGACGCAACGTACGACGGTACAACGCAATGGGCGACGGAAGGGGTGACGTTTAGGCGGAAAAAATGCAACATGGAAAGGGCCTCAGGCAGCACAACGCGACAGGCGACGGCACGACGCGACGCGCGACGCGTCGTGTGTGTACAAAAGTAATGGCAAGAAGGCGACGATGCGACCCGACGGCACGACGCAAGGGAGCCGTCGTGCCATCGCGTCGTGTAGTTGCGTCGCCTGGAGGGAGGCTATTGAGAGAGGGAAATGTGTGTCGTAAATAGTACACCATAGTGAATAAACATCACATTTAAAGGATCCAGGAAATGAAATTTTATTAGATGATCTTTTTTGGGGAACCCCGTGTACTCTTCTTCCATGTATGAAGACTGACATCTTTTTTGAGTTACGTGAACTGAGCGCTGCACTTTTTCAAATATTAAAAATTGACCAAGCATGTCTGGACAAGTGAGGGCGCTTTTGCTTTGATGAAAATCCAGGAAGACATGGTTCAGGTTGCATGTTTATGTTCAAATTGTGAACCCCAAATCTGCTATCAGGGGACATTTCTGTGAAAAGGATTTTTGCTGGATTATTGTCTTGAAACCTGCCATGGCAGTTGTAAAAAATATCTAGAGATTTTCAGTGCACAAATCAGTGCAACATTGAGATTCAGCATCTTTGATGAAATCATGGTTCTGCTCATGAATATGCAACTATGCATTAGCATAAAAACCAAAAAAGCATCAAAATATGGGTTAAAACTGCAAAACAAAAATTTAAAATCAGGTTAACTGAAACCCAAAGATGCAATTTCAAGGGTTTTTATTAAATTTATAAAAATATTTCCATTTCCTGGTTCCTTTAAAAGTAAATTTTAAAAAAGAATAGGAAACTGCACTGCATGTTTGACTCGACTCACATCTCAAACGGCTTTTACAAGAGAAACATCTTTTCTTTAGTGGTCGTCCAGCTGATTACGGTCTAAGAGGAGAATAATATGCCCCCTCATTTTAGAAACGGGGGAAGAGATCCAACTATGGGTAGTGATGATTGGTCTCCCTTTAAGGTGTTCATTGTTACGGGAGGGAGGAGATTTTAGTTGGTGGGCTTGAGGGAAGAGGTTCATGGAGGGTAATCTAATAGGGGAAGAATTTAGGGTAGAATTAATTTCTTTGAAATCGGACTCCCCAGAGAGGAGATCGTTTTGTTTAAATAGTAATTGTAAGTCATGCTTAGCGGTTTGAATAAGTTTAGAAATTGAATAAGTGTGTCGAGTTTATTGAGGCAGTGGTACATATTGCAATTGATTTGTCGTTTGTTTTCGTTAATATACATGTACCATGATGTGTTGTTGAAGCATAGACCCAGGTTTTTGTCCGCTGAAATTCTGAGGATAACAGTGCTTTTTGTTTCTAGCGATGTTTTATTTGTTAGGTTTAAAGTAATATTGTGGAGGAGGTTGTGATTGGTTTTAAGGGTGTGTTGAAGGGGGATATTTGTGGCTTCTTCTAATGTAGCATGGACGTAATTGAAGGTGTTTTGGAGAATGTTTTGATTTGAGATTAGTTCAGTGAAACGTTTGATTTTAGATCGATTTGTTAGTTTTAGCTTGGGTATAGGTTAGATCTTTTTTAGGAGAGATTTGGAGGTTAGAAGAATGGAATTACAAAGTTCGGCTTTTAGAGAGGAAGGACTTTCGGTGGGATCTGTGGGTATAAAGAAAGGCCCTTTATTAATGATTTTTTTAATGTGCTGGTGAATTCTTAGATTGGTGAAGTTCTGAAAATTAGATGAATGGTCATCAGTTTCTTTGGCTAGGGCTAGATCTACATGTATTTCTTTGTTTTTTTTAAAGAAATCAGTTTGCAAGTGAAGAATTGTCTTGTAATGACAATCTGCAGTTTATTAGGGATTTGGTGATTTTGTAGTGAAGTGATAATTTGTATTTGGTTCTTTCACAGTTGATGGGTTTGTTGAGAGTGATGTCGTTGATTAGGGTATGGAATTTGGTTGTCCAGTTCAGATATTGTATTTTGGAGGCTGTGTTTAGTGTTGCTGATGAGTTGTCGGAGGTTAGGAATACGTACCGATATGGAGATTGAGGTGGTGTCTGTTATGTTTGTTACTGTGCTCTTGGTTACATGGAATTCTTGGTAGCATTTATTTTCTAGTAAAAGGAGTTGGGGTTGTAGGTTTGTAGAATGGTGTAGTTTTTGTTTATGTCAGTG